AAGTGAGAGCACATTTTCTAATTCAAATTGGGTGAAGAGAAACCTAGACACATTCAAAACTGTGATGAGCTGACACATCATCATCCATTCTGGATTCAGCTGCAGTGTCCCATAAAAACATTGATATAGTAAACCATTTTCCATGGTGTCAAAGCCTAAATCAGGCTAGAGAGTTTAATTCTGCTCCAGTTAATACTTCCAGTGACCCATTTGCTCTGAAATAAAATTACAAACAATTGGAAGGATAACAAACAGAGGTAGCTGAGCAAAGCATCATATGTGTGTTAAAATGAGCTCAGGATTAGAGCTGCATTACTCATGACAATTTGCCTCAGGGGACCACTTGTAAGGACTTTTTTCCAGAGAAGCCTCCACAAAGCTGCCAGACCCATGACCTGTCCCCTTTCGGGTGGCAGTGGCGGCTGGCATAGGCCGCTGTGCTGATACAAGCTGGCATACTCTTCTCTGCTCAATAGTGCTAACAAGCAGGGACACTGATGAGGCACAATGAAATGTGTTTGAGGAAACCCATACCCCTGCATCAGCACTCTATACTGGCACCCAGGCAGGGGCCCAAGGTGGCACTCATAGGACTAACAAACCCCAGAAGCCTTTCAGTCTGCACAACATCTTCATCCACATCTTTTTGCTTGTTTAAAATGTTTATTATTCCTTGTACACACAAACCAGACATTCACAGGGAACTCATGATGTTAAAGCAGTAAAGGCTAAAATGTTGGTATGCTGTGTGATACTGATATGGCAAAGCATTGAAAGCAGAGGAAATTCCCTCTGACAGAAGCTCAAAAAGAACAAATATATAATTCTACAAGCATCATCTGAGAGATCTAAGGCAGGAAAATCAGTCAGAATTACTAAAGGACCTCATTATGATGCAAATTCATTTATTCCATTTTATCTGGCCCTTCTCAATAGCTCATATGGCAGTGAGTCCGCACAGAGGAAGACACAGGGAGACCTCACACTGGGCATCTGGCTGCTTAGAATTCCTCTGTGAACATCTGAGTTTGTGTGTGTGTCTGGTACCTGCCTTCATTCCACCTGGGGCCTGTCGGTGCTAGCCCTTATAATACAGCCAAGATACTTGACCACTGATCCCCAGAAGAGTGATTATTGTCAAGGTTTGACTTGACATTATTGGATTGCTGGTTAAACTTGTGTCTCATGAAGCAAAAAGAGGCCTATCACGAATCTGGGGTGACTCACACCAAAGGATCTGGGGCAGCAGAACCCTAGGTATGAGTTTTATTATTATTATTTTTTTAAATCATTAGTTTCTTTTTGTTGTCAAATATAAATAATGTGAAACAAAATCAAACCAAGTAGGATTAAAGAGACCACTGGCATCTTAAAAACAGTATCTGATATGTTATACAAATAATAGTTTTTCATACTTATGATTTTCAAGTGTCACCTCTCAGGTGATATCCCTGCCACCCAGGCTCAGACTTTTAGAATTATACCTGCAGCCTAAGAGGAAGACGTGTAGATTCTAGTCACAGCTACAAATCCTGTTTTTTATGAAAAAAAAAATGTCTGTTATTATTATGTCAGTATTCTCCTAAACATACACTGTTCAATATAGTCAATGATAAGGTAGCAAAGAGAAACAACTACTGTATTTACTATCATCAGGTTTGTACTAGCAAAACTTTTAGGTGACTATTGTATTAATAATTCCATAGTTTACATCCAATTCTTTTTTTTTTCCCATTAGGATACAATTAACTTGGGGGGGGGTGTCACTGAAGAGCACTATGACTTTGTGTGCACCAACCCCACACCTCTGAAACCAACCCTACACCCAAAATGATGTATTCTCCCTGTGAACCCATCAGCAGTAAATACTGTGAATCACTTTGATTTGCCCACCAGACAAAACCTGATCAGCAGTGACTGAGCTACAGTAAACGGACAGATGGTACTGGCCTATCCTTGATCTTCCTCTGATTTCATTGTGGAGGACAAATCATGCATCTTGACAGCAAGCAGACATACAATATAAGCAGATTTTATGCTGTCTGAAGCAATCAGTTTAGAGAGAATTACGGAGCTCAGCGATTATGATGAGAGCCTATTAAAGTAAAATAGTGCTGTAATCAAAATAATTTGGAGTGTGATGCAACACCCACCCATGCAAACAAAGGCATGCATGCATGCACACACACACACACGCACAAGTGTACAGCTGATGGATTTAATTTCTGATGAGATCAACCAACACTTAAGCAATGTGCATGCTACACGAGTGAACATAAGAGTGAAAAATACACATGGGGAAACTGAAATGAAGAGCACTCTAACACTGCCTGAAGACAAGAATTACAAAAAAGTGGGCGGAGGGAGCAGCTGCTCAGGCATACAAAAAAAGGAACTCCAGAAATTAATTGCTGCAGATCCAGCAGCATACATATCACAAAGCAGAACTTTTATTACTGTAGTGCGAATCTGCTCTTAATGTCAAAGCTAAGCACCATATGGGAATATGTTGATGTCTACTTCAGTGAACCAGAGACCCATAAAGACCACACACGCTTGCCTTTCTGTCACCCAACCCAATAAGCCTGAGTCATATTGCTTCAGCCTGTAAGAATGTTCAAAAGAAAGCAAACACAGAACACCAGCTAGTATAATAACATAATAAATTTTAATTAAATAATTGCACGGACTAGGATGCAACCACCTTGAGATGTCCGTTAAGCCCACTCTCTAGCAGTTGTCTTTAGTTAATATAGCAAAGGTCTGACTGATACCATAACTTCAACCAACAGCTAAACTAAAATGGATCATGAACCACATCACTCTCCACTGCAGCCCATTGACATGCATGTAAATTAGCTACTGAAAAAAAAAATCCCACTTGTATAACAAAACACACATCCATGTTAATATTTCCAGGGCGCAGTGATGTAAAGGCTGACAGTCAGAGGTTCATATATTCATTTTATCCCACTTAAATGGAATGACACATCATGCTCACCTTCCCATTTTTTGCCTGTCAGTCATCTCTAAGCAACGAATAAAGCTCTGCACCAGTACAACCTGTCACTATTGTCATTCAAATGGTAAAAAAAAGACTTCACCTCACTATTCAGGTGGAGCTAGGGAGGAACTCATCTGTCTCGTTTGATTGTTCTGTCTAATCCTTTATTTTATGTAGGCTCTCTGTTATTTCCCTGAAGTGGGAATCACATTTTAGTTAGGTCTATCCTCAGTTAGTAGCTCATTTTCGTAACTCCCTGTCCTATGGGCTCATCCTATGGGCTTTGTTTCTTTGTCAGAGACTCTCCCCACTCTCTGTCACAATCTAACATCTCCCCCATCTTGTGCCATCTTTTCATTCTTTAACTGTTCCATTTCCAATCACAGTCATCTTTTCCTGTCCTCACAACAAAAACTGCCCTGTCTGACAAACGCCTGTGTTTTGCAGATGGGGAAAACACAATAAACAGTTACAGAAAATGCATATATTCTAAGGAGAGGAAATGAAAACTGTCACAAATTGTCAAACAGGTAGTCTGCATATGGGGAAACTAAATAGGATGCTAAGCAATCTATGACCTCTATAGGACCCGAGGGAACTAGCAATATTGTCAGGACCTATCCTGTCCTACACTGCCACCACCCCCTGCTAACTTTGCATATGATTTCACTAATTGACATAAACAAAAAAACATCAAACACTTGCGACAGAGATGAATCAGCTAACTAATGGGATCCAACACAGTTGTCTTGTAAAGAGACAATGCATCACAATGTGAGATACTACACTAATAATAGAACTTTGTCATTTGCTGTTTTGACGTGAGGGTGACATATTTTAGCTTTTGATCCTGCAGTGTTTTGCAACTGGGAGTGCTTGAAATTGAAATAGTTTTGTTTTGTTTTTTTCTGATTCTTTTAAAAAGCTAGAAATCTCTCTGCACTGGTGATGTACAGTCCCACTGACAAAACATGCACCTGTGTCTTTTTCACTCACACTGTGTCAAAGTAACTGTCAATGCTGATCAACAGCTCTATAAAGTCATTTCTGAAACATGCCAAATTTTGTACAGGGTAGTGAAAACCTTATTACTTTTCCTTAAAAATCCATACACCTTGCACAAAAAGCAGAAACATCTGTTGATATAAAACCATAAATTAATACAACAAACTATTGACATACAAATATAAGGGGAAAGGTGAGACGTTCTAGGTGGCCAGCAAAACATGACAGTGTAAAAGTGTCAAATCTAGAGTGGAGCAATGCATAAATACTATAATAACTGGAAATGTGCCATGTAAATTACTTATTGTGGTGTGTTACATGAGAGGTAATGGATTATGTTTGCCAGCTTAAGGCAGCAAAGTTGTTATTATGATACACAGTTGACAGAATGGCAGTTACAGCTTTGGCTCTGACTTTTTTCTAAAATAAAGCTGTGCTTAGACCATCAGTATTCCACCAGTAGACTGATTACTCTGCCTAGAAATTATAGCTACTGTGCACCTAAGCTGCAGTCTAATTCTGGTCCAACTGGAGCCAAGGAAATGCTGAGAGTAAACACAGTGTTGTGTGCACAGATGTCATGGTTCAGATTTATTTAGAGGGCGAATGCTCCATTAGTTGAGGCTTTTTAATTAGCACACTTGTGTGAGAGGGTCATTAAGGATGTCTGACAGAGGACCTGCTGATGAGGAGGATGGAGACACTGCTAACACTGGCCCTGATACAACACATACATACACCTATGCACGTGCCCACACAAACACCTACACAAGCTCAGATTTGTTTATAAACTAACAACATTTCACCCAGTCACTGGCAAACACAGCAAGTAAATGGAATGGGTGCCACAACATTTCCTCTCCAAAATGGCCACAGAGCACAAACACATCTCCCACAACTGTCTCCATCACCAGCAGGACCACACACATGAAAGCCATGTACATTTAAATGCATATTAATATAGAACATGACAGAATAGAAGGGTTCCTACCATTTTCCGGGTGTTCATTCTCACCAATGCTGCCATCTGGAGTGGTTCTCTCATAGTGGTCCTCCGGCAGGGTCAGGGGTCCAGTGCGGGGACCAGATGATGACTTACTGCTGGGAGTTTCAGATTCCTCCAAGCCGCTGTCATAGTAACTGTGCTGAGAGGCATCCTGCAGGTCCTGCACAGGGTTGGTGGTGGAGAAGGTCACTCGCCGATGGGGATGCTGAAAAAAAAAACAACAAATGAATTCCTTCAAAACAAGGAAAGGATTTTTCAGCCACACTTACCGGCAGCATTTAAGACTGTTGTCTGCATTTTGCTGGCCTCGTAAAGTTCACTCTTCAAAGTCGAAAAATAGCATTAAATATTAAACACTCTTAAATATTAAATAGTCTTTGGCACCATTATTATTCTGAAGATTATATAAGGTAGAAATATATGAACAGATGAGGTCATGGACTCTAATAATACGAGTGTGCAAATTAGCAGTAGTGGAAATGAAATAAATTAAGACCAATAAAAATTCTCATATACTATACAAATAAATAAATAAATATCTCAACATGGAGCATGTGCTTATATATTCTGTGATGTGGTTCTGTATCTGTAAGGACTGATTCAAATCTATATGCATCCAATTTATAATGAATTAGAGGACACATTATATTGTACTTATTGTTCAAGGGCTTGTGTTTAGCTGCCTTCAAAAGCTGCATGTGATTTTATAGCAAGAATATTATTGTGTTGATATTGTATGTGATGTAAAACTGTGCCCACTTATCGAAGATAATAACACAGTATGGACAAATCTAGGGTACAGAATATGAAGGTGTGTATTTATGTTAATCATTTTCCATCATATCACAAGCTCCAGATGTGAGTATCTACTGAAAAATCAGTGAAGCAGATTGTGTACGTATGTTAATACAGTATATAATGATGTCTATACATTTGTACGGACATGAACGCAAACTTTATAAACAAGTGTTAAAAGGTGATACAGAGACTGAAAATGTGAAAAGCACTATTATTGCTGTTATTGCCATTATTAGCCAGACAAAGGTTTCATTTTCTAAATCTGTCACTGCCAAATGAATTCTGATGATGACTGGTGCACTAATCAGTAGCCCCAGTGAGCTACTTCCCATCTCCATATTTTAATATTTCCCTTTTCCACCGCTTTGATGTTTAACCGAGCAGAAGGCTAGACAGTATTTTTGCAATTTAACTAAAAAATAATTCCAAGAAGCTCTAAATAAGGTTAATAATAAAACAGAGCATTAGAAATTTACTTTGTGACAGTTACTATTTTGCCAGCATCAGAATACATCATTAGGTCTGGTTTCACTGTTACAGCATATGGTGATGAGAACAGATGAGACAACGAAAGAGTAAATGAATGAATGAAAATGATGATGAAATCTTGAATCTGATAGCTTGAAGAGGAGCACAATGGCATTATAATAAATCATTCAAAATCACACCCTATATCAAATTGAATGGCTTGTAAATATAGTTAGGAGACCATTAAATTCCCTCTTCCAAAGATCAGCTTACTAATGGCTACTTACCACGGATCCACAACAGAAAGATGACACCTTGCACATGCAACCCCCCCCCGTACTCCTGCACCATCCACACACACATAAGTATCTCTTGTAAAAGTCAGGAAAGCACTGATACAGCAGAACAGGCCTGCCACTGCTACGAGTCAGCCTAGATCAATACCACGAGTTTGTGCTTTCTACCATTCAACCACTTTTCTGGCAAACAAATCCATGCTAGAAATCATTCAAACCATCTGCCTTTTAGTACACACGTACCAGATACTGAGAAATGCTTTTAGAGCTGAGGTAAGTGCTATCAACACTGTGTTCATAATGATGTTACCAGGCTTCCAAATGTTTCCAGAAACCTGTTCATCTCCCCATCATCATAGTCATACTTTTCTGACTGCACAGATGCATCTCTTGGTCTTTCATCTAAATAATGATTACTTGAGTTCTGGGGTGCATGCTTTTCTACCAGCAGTACTTCAACATCACAACATCAATGAATCATGCACAGTGTGCAGTAAGGAAGCTGTCTACGACTTCCCAGGTACGTGTAATGGAAGGATAAATTAAGAAAAACTTTCAGGCACAAATGAATGGTGCAAAAATAAGGAAATAAGGGCAATGAGAGGTTTGGGGGTATAAAAATATGGCATGTTGAGTTCTTTCTATTAAACATATTGTTTGATTGGTGTATCTAGTAACATTTTTAAATGTAATCTGCCATGTTTACTGAGATGAAAATACAAAGCAAAAACTGTATATCATTACTCGCAAAATACTTTTATCACATCTTGATTAATCTAATTTAATTAGTGAAATATTAAAACAGACCATAATTAATAAAAAAAAAAAAAACTCCCCCATGATACTAGATACCAGCTTCTGTGACAATGCAATAAAATTGCCTTTGACTTGTGTAGATATACAAATGATATAGTTCAATGGTGCATCCCTATAATATGATTGCAGGGTCTATGACTATGTAAATGTGAGGGGGCATTTAGTTGTTTAAATATGGATTCTAGCTTAAACCTCTCCTCAAGGCATCACTCCAGAGATTCAGCATGTTTCCAGGGTATGATAACTAGCTAGGGCTGCAGAGATGGGAAATAGATTCTCCTTTTACTCTGAGCACAAATCCTTTGCCAGGCCTTGGGGGCTGCAGAGATGCGGCAAGACGGAAGGATGGAAGGGGAGGCTG